AGTACTATTTTCTACAACTAATGTACAATAATTCTCACAACAACAACTCGTGAGAATATGATTGAACGAATCAGGAATGCTTGTGCCCATTACTAGAGACGTACTTCTCAGTCATTTGAAACGCGGATCGACAATTGTATTGAAGTTCAAGGTTACCATTTAGAGCATTTACTTGAACAGTGAGAGGCAAGGGACTCACGTTAATCAAGCACCCCGAAAGTTGTTCCTGGGTTACACCAAAAGTAGTTTATTAATCAACCACCCCATCCACAGGAGGTGGGAGGGGGGGCAACCGTAACATCATTGAATAGCCCGTCGAAAAATACTAAATATGTGCTTCTCTGTTTCTTGATTCTTTTGATTTCTGTTCCATCTCTTGCGATTACAGTGCCATCTGTCGCGAATCGAAAAAATTTTTTCAGACAAATCGTACGTAGAATCCGAATCTGCGATAAAAAATAGGGGTTCCTATTTAATATTTCAAATTTGACGCCCGCCCCGCCCACAGGGGGTGTGGAGGTGGACGTAATTTAGTACTAACGGATGCCCCTCTCGCAGATATTAAAGTTCCGATTCGGCAAATTTTTCTGTACGATGCGTATTTTTCGAGATATTACAAAATTCCAGGTTAAATGATTCACCCTGTATAATTGTTTAATATATGAACGATAAAGTTAAGAAAATGAAAAAAGTGTTAATGTATTTTGTAATTTCATCCTATTAAGACTGATACAAAAACAATCCAATCAACATAACATTTCTCTTATAACTATTTTCAAACATTCTAAATACAATAATAACTTTATTTTAGATCAATGCGGATATTGAGTTTTGGCCACATTTAGAGATGGCTCACTGTGCCACGGTCGAAAGGGTATCATATGCAAACGAAAGCCGCGTATATGTGCCACATGTATGCGGCTTTCGTTTGCGCGTTTCCTCTTCCACCATGAGTTGCGGAGCTGCTAGGTTGAAATTTGCTATCACTGGTTATGAGTAAGCTGTTTCGCTCAGAGTGCGACAAGGCGAGCATGAACAGACTATTTCAATCTTGTTCAGTGCGCCAAGCGCGTGAGAAGACAAAGAAGACCGAATGGTAAGTCTCGACCGTGCGCGTAAGAATTTCCAGCATTACTTGTGTCTATGTCGCGTGTCTGCTCACTGGTGGTGAGACAAAGTCAAAGCGATTCAATTGTTATCCTTCTCTTACTTATGCATATATATATATATATACTACATGGGCTGAAAAGTCTTTGGCCTGACATATAGATGGCGCCACAAACTAAAAATCCTTATATTTCCTATAGAGTACCAACCTTAACTTAGATGCTGTAAAAATTTCATGATATTTCATTGACTCGTGTACAAGTTATAGCTTTCGAAGTGACGTTACCTCTGAATTTATCTTTACTATGGAAAAAAGTGAATTTCGTGTTTTGATTAAACATTGCTTCCTGATGAGAAAAAGTACTGTTGAAGCAAAGGCATGGCTTGATAAATGTTACGGCACATCTGTCCCACCGAATTCAACCATCAAATATTGGTTTGCTGAGTTTCATCGTAACCGTACGAGCACAAATGATGCACCACGTTCAGGAAGGCCAAATGAGGCAGTTACTCCAGAAAACATCCAGAAAATCAGTGAAATCGTGTTGAATGACCGCAAAATGAAATTGAGTGAGCTAGCTAACATCATAGGCATCTCAAAGGAACGTGTTGGTCATATCATTCATGAATATTTACACATGAAAAAGCTTTGCATGCGTTGGGTGCCGCGTTTTTTGACAATTGAGCAAAAAGCGGAACGTGTTCGACTTTCAAAGCAAAATCTGGTCCTGTTTAACCGCAATAAGAAGGAGTTTTTGCGTCGATTTGTGACAATAGATGAAGCATGGATCCATCACTACACACCAGAGTCCAATCGGCAGTCAGCGGAGTGGTTATTGCCTGGTGAAAGCCGTCCGAAGCGCCCGAAGACACAACAATCAGCCGGCAAGGTTTTGGCCAGTATTTTTTGGGATGCGCATAACATAATATTCATTGATTATCTTGAACATGGTAAAACTATCAATAAAGAATGTACATTACTGGATCGATTGGACGACGAGGTCAAGGTCAAACGGCCACATTTGGCAAAGAAAAAAATTTTGTTTCACCAAGACAATGCTCCAGCTCACTCGACTCGCGATACGATCGATAAATTAAAGAAATTGCGCTGATGAATTGGTCCCGCATCCCCCGTATTCTCCAGACCTGGCCCCCAGTGACTATTTCCTTTTTCCCCGACTGAAGCAGTGGCTCGCTGGTAAAAGATTTTACTCGAATGAGGAGGTCAAGTTGGAAACAAATGCCTATTTTGAGGGACTTGACACCGAGCACTATAAGACCGGCATCGAAATGTTAGCGGACCGTTACACTAAGTGCATTACTCTAAATGGAGATTATGTCGAGGAATAAAACACTTTTTTCATTAAAAAAATCGTTTTTCATTGTTAAGCCAAAGACTTTTCAGCCCATGTAGTATACAGGGTGAAGAAAAAACCCCGGAACCCCTGAAAATTTCGAAAAACATACACTTTATAAAATAATGTTTCAGACAAAAGTTGTAGCGTTGGAAAAGATCTATTTACCGATCTTAACAATTTGACCTTGGGTGGCGTCATCAAGGTCAGGACAAAGTCACCTCGGATTTTTTAAGTGGAACTCCCAATTTTTTATTGCATATTCTTATAGCCCTTTTTCAGTCCTTTTCAAATCACTATGGTTTTATCCAATTTGAATAAGCTGTTCCGAAGTTATCGAGTTTTTTAAAGTAAGATATCTAGCCAACCAAGGCAAGATCGGAGGATGATCTAGCCAATTAAGGCAAGATCGGAGGATGATCCGGCCAACTAAGGCAAGATCGGAGGATGATCCGGCCAACTAAGGCAAGATTGGAGTGATCGAGCGAACTAAGACAAGATCGGTGGATGATCCAGCCAACTCGTAAAAATATGAACCATGATAGAAGGAGGGCGTACTAGGTGGCGACGGAACGCCGTGCGTTCGGGACCTGCATCTCATTTTTCGTTCCGAGGAGAGAAAAATATCGAGAGCGCGGTAGTCGCTAGACCGGGAATCGAACCCGGGTCTTTCGCTTGCCGGGCGACTGCTCTAGACCACTGAGCTATCTGACGCTCCACGCTCACGACACTCTCCCCTCCCCAGATAACGTTGAGAGATGTCGTTCGGAAGCGACATCTCTGGTGCTATCCCGAGCGCACGGCGACTACAGAGAGAGGCATTGTTACTTGTACCTGGTGGTACAAGCTGATAGTCTCTCAAAGTCAAACCCCTACACCCGGTAGGGAAGACAAAGAATGAAGCCAGGGTCGCCAGGACTGAGGGTGTAGGCCCCAAGATCAGGAAGAACATCCCACTCAACACAAAGGTGAGAGTGGAAAGAATAGAGGAACCTAGGAAAGGTGAAGACGAAGGATTGGAAGGGAAGGTAACCAAGGTAGTGTTCAGAGTACTGGGCGAATGGGCATCACAAAGGGATGGTGAACGGAAGAAAGAAGAAGGAAGGGAAAATAAAAAGGAGACTCCCAATCAAGGGGCGGGAAAGAATGCCAAAGGAAAAGGCAACAAGAAGGGAAAAGGAATGGGAAAGGCATCGGGGGATCAACCAAATGTCCAAGTCCCTAAAGGAAAGGACAACCGGCAGACCCAAGCCCCGCTACCCCAGAGAGCAGGGCACCTGATGCCGGAAAACAACAAGGAGGAAACACCCGCACCTGTGGCTCAGGAACTGTGGTCCAAAGTGGTGGGGAGAAGAGAAAAGAAGGAAGCAAGCAAAGAACAGAAGAGGCAGGAAACAAACAGGACAGGAAAAGAAGGAAATATGGGAACAAAGGAAGAGAAGAGAGTCAGGCGAAAGGTCCCAAATACGGCGGCAGTTACCATAACGGCGGATAATGACCGGTATAAGGAACTGCTGGCCGAGGCCAAACAAAAAATCGACCTGACTGGAATAGGCATTGAAAAAATGAAAACTAGAATTGGTGCTACCGGAGCGCTAGTTCTGGAAATTCCAGGAGAGGAAAGAGGGAAGCAGGCTGACTTCTTAGCGGACAAACTGAGGAAAGTACTGTCCAATAGGGCAAAGGTGAGCAGACCCCAAAAAATGGGAGAGATCCGCATCAGGGGCCTTGAAATCTCAACCTTCGAAAAAGAAGCTGCTGAGGGAGTGGCGAAATTAGGAGGTTATGAGGTTAATGATGTGAAAACAGGACGAATAAGGATAGCCCAAAATGGATTCAAGTCACTCTGTATCCAGTATCCCCTCCTAGCGGCCAAGAAGGTCGCAGAAAAGGGGACGGTGAACATAGAGTGGACACAGGTAAAAGTAGAATTGCTGCAAGGAAGGCCTCTGCAATGTTTCAGATGTCTGGAAAAGGGACATGTGCAACAAAACTGCACAAACAACATTAACAGAAGGGATAACTGCTACAGATGCGGCGAACCTGGACACCTGGCTCGGGACTGCGAGGCTAGAGCCAGGTGCCAAATCTGTGCAGAAGCAGGAGCCCATGCGGGGCACAGAATGGGTGGGCCATTCTGTGGCCCCCCCTCAGGAAAAAGGAAAGCCATAAGAGGAGCAGTTGAGGGAAAAGCGGTATCCGCACCGAAACCGCAAGACCCTCCTGCTCCTCCCAAGGACAAGGAAGGAAGAAAAGAATCGGAGAAGGGAGATGAGAGTGGGATCCGGGAATTCCCACCCCCACTCCCTCAGAGAGACGGGCCCCTCCCCCAAGCTCTAAACAAATGGAGAGTGAGGAAATGGAGATGGATGCTAAACAAGGAGAAAAACGCCCACGTCCAGTGGAAAGCGCGGAGAGTGACGAGGGGGACCAGCCAGATGGGAAGGTCACCAGCCCTATAGACCAATAATAGACACCCGACTACTCCAAGAAAACCTGCACCGCGCCCGCCAGGCTCAACCACTGTTCGAGCACACAATGGCGGAGCGTGGTGTAGGATTAGACATAGCGGCAGAGCCCTATCACATCCCCAAAAATCACCCTAGATGGTTTGGGGATGACTTGGGCTCTGCCGCTATAGTTTGGAGGGCAAATGATAGCTCACCCCCCGCAACATTTGTAAGTTGCGGCAGGGGATATGTTGTGGCCAAGTGGGGAGTAGTCACCGTGGTTGGGGTGTGCTTCCCCCCAGCAAAGAGCCTGGACCTGATTGGGTACAGGTCCAAGCTCCAAGAGATGGGAGACAATCCAAAGGCACCTCTCAGGTCCTGTCATCGTGGCGGGGATTTCAATGCGAAATCGGAATTGTGGGATCCCCGGCGCGATGACAGGCGGGGGGAAGTAACTATAGATTGGGCCGCAAGCCTCGGTCTACACATCCTCAATGAGGGGAGCAAATCCACGTTCGTGGGGTCGCGGGGGGAGTCAATTATTGACTTGTGGGCAACCCCCGCGGCCCTGAGAAGAGTGTGGACCTGGAGAGTGGCGGACGAGCTCGAGATCCTGTCGGATCATCTCTTAATAGAGATGGAGCTGTCCGTCACCCCCAACGGCCTGCGGCCCAGCCAAACGAAGGAACCCCGACCCGGTAGATGGTCCTTGGCCCAATTAAAAAAGGAGAGCCTAGAGATCTCCTTGGAGGGCTCCACCTGGCCACGACAAAGGGAGGGGCAGGACCTTGACTCTGAGGTCATGGAGGTAATGGACATACTCGCACAGGTGTGCGATGCCACCATGCCCAGAGTCAGGTCCTGCTCAAAGCGGTCCGCCTGGTGGTGGTCCGACCACATTGCTACGCTGAGGCGCAGATCGGTCTACTGCAGGTGGGCATTTCGCAGGGAGCGAAACAGGCTGAACCCGGACCCTGAGGCCACTCTGGCCGCCCGGCAGGAATTCTGCAAAGCAGCAGTAGAGCTCAGAGAAGCCATAGGGGCGGCCAAAGGAAGAGGGTGGAACAACCTCCTCCTCTCGTTGGATGCGGATCCGTAGGGGCGTCCATATAGAATGGTGATGCAGAAGCTGAAACCATGGACGCCCCCTTTGACGGTGACGCTTGACCCCCAGTTCCTCGGACGGGTGATGGGGACTCTATTCCCGAACAGGGAGGACGACCCCGTCAACCCGTACATTCCATCCCCCCAACAGTAGGGGGAGGTACCGGGGATCACAGAGGAGGAGGTGGCCGGGGCTGTCAAGAAGGTCAAGAGCCGAAAGGTTCCAGGACCAGATGGCATCCCCGGCCGAGTCCTCACCCTGGCCTCAGGGTTTATGAATCAGAGGTTCGCGAGCCTGTTTACACGGGCGTTCAAGGAGAGAATGTTCCCCCCAGTCTGGGGGAGGGCCAACGTGATCCTCCTCCAAAAAGAGGGCAAACCGGAGGACTCCTCCGCGTACCAGCCCATATGCCTCTTAGACGAGGCAGGTAAGCTCTTTGAGAGAGCTCTTTGAGAGAGTTATAGCTGCCCGTCTCTAGAGGCATATGTCCCAGGAAGGTCCCAATCTCAACGACGGCCAATATGGCTTCCGAGAGGGAAAATCAACGATAGATGCAATACTGCATCTAAGGTCCTTCTCGGAGGCCATCGTGACGGAGGACAGGGTGGCGGTGATATCGCACTTGATATCGCAAACGCATTCAACACCCTGCCCTGGGGTAGGGTGGTGCAGGCAATGCGGGATTATTTCCGCTTCCCACCCTACCTCACGGCCGTCGTTGAGAATTACTTCTGAGGTCGGCGTCTGACTTGGATGGACGCCGACGGCAAGTTACGCGAGAGGGGGATGAGCTGCGGGGTTCCACAGGGCTCGGTGTTGGGCCCACTACTGTGGAACCTCGGTTATGACTCAGTCCTCCGGACAGCCCTCCCCCCGGCTGTAGCATCGTGTGCTACACCGACGACACTCTCGTCTTGGCCGGGGGGAATGACTGGGGGGATGCCATACATACGGCTAACCTAGCAGTGGCAGGAGTCGTACGCGCTATCCGTAACCTGGGCTTGGTGGTGGCTGAAAGGAAGACAGAAGCCATGTTCTTCCATGCCAAGGGAAGGAAGCCACCCCAAGCCCAGGTGCGGATAGGTACGGTCAGGGTCCCATTAGAGGCCCAAATGAGATATCTGGGCCTCATACTGGACGGGCACCTGGTGCTTCAGAGAACACATAAATAGGCTGGTCCCCCGACTAAGGGTAGTGTCTGCCAGGCTAAGCAGACTCATGTCCAATGTCGGGGGGCCAGACGGGAAGGCTCGTCGCCTCTATGCAGGAATTTTGAATTCTGTGGCGCTCTATGGAGCGCCAGTATGGGTTGAAGCCCTGGCAGCCAGTCGCCCCATGCAAGCGCAAATGCGCAAAGTGCAGAGGGTGCTGGCGGTCAGGGTAGCAAGGTGCCACCGCACCGTGTCCTGCGTCTCCTTCAGGGTGCGTCACCTTGTCGTGGTGAAGGAGCTTTGGGTTGCAATGATCCCTCAGGGCTAGGCCGGCGGAGAGCTTGCTCCCCAGTGTCCTACCGTGCCGGACAGGCCTGAGGAGTAGGTCTCTTACTAAGAACGCAACTAGGGGTAATGGTACCCGAATCAATTCCACTCCTCCCAATCTACGGTGTGTAGGTACCGTGTCTATGGATGAATGGCCGTGGGAGGTTAAAGATACTAGGTATTCCGAAGGTCTCGAACGATCCCTTGGGGGCACCTGGGGCAACCCCCTCGTATTTTAGTCCCCTTACCCCGGCAGGCGGCTCTGTCCTGTAGGGCGGACCTATATTTCCGACCAGTTTCGTGGGAACAAAATGGAGAAATTTAATATTAATACAAACATTGAGCCTTCGGGCATGGAGGAAACTGTGGCGTTGGAGTGTTCGAATGTGGGGAGTCGTAGGGTGCCGTCTTCGTCCCTGGACCTGAGTCATGCGGCAGTCGGGGGACGGGATGGCCTTCAGTCGCCTCCCGTGGGGCTTACGCCTGTGGGGCAGCAGATGATGGACTCAATAAAGAGTGACCTGGAGAGTCAGGATGCTGCGGCTGCGGATGTTCGATCGGGCGTCGATAGTTTTCGGTCTGCGCTCGACAGTGATGAGTCGTCGGCGGATTGCAGTCGGGAAGAGACAGTGGCTATGGAAGGAGGTCCTCTCGAGGTTGGAGGAGGGGACCCCGATGTATTACCCGAAGGATTGGAGGCGGGACCGAGCACCGAAGACGGAGAGACTTGTGGCGCGGCGGGGCCGCCAACCAAGGCCTTGGCAGAGATGGACTCCCCGGTTTTGAGGAGTCCCATGACTTTGTCTTCACTGGGCCGGAGTGGGTCCGCCGAAGCCCTAGCCGTAGTGGAGCTCAAGGAAGGGGTCCCTTCGGGGAATCCGGGTGATTTGGAGACCCCTAGGCCTCGAAGGAAGAAGAGGGCTCTGGAGCAGGTAGTAACTCCCTCCCCGGAGACGGTTGTGAAAAGGACGGTCGGACAGGCTGCGGAGGACGATGAGGATCGAATCCCGGGTCCGGTTGGGAAGGTAGCTGCACGCCGTTTAGGATCGGATTCCGAGGTGTCAGTTATAACGATTGCCTCGGATCCATCGCCCTCCAGGACGGTGCCGCGACGCACCAGGCGTGCCGGGCTGCGAGAGAGGGACGAGACGGGAAAATTTATAAAGAAGAAGAAATCGGTGTCGGCGGAGGCATTGTTGGCAACGGTTTCTAGACCTAGGAAGAAGGTTAAATGTGTGGACTCTTCTACCGGATCTGAGCCTGAGGGATCTTTATCCGGTCCTTCGGGGGCAGTGGTCGATGTTCCGTCAGTATCGGGGTCTTCCCCGATTGAAAAGAGACTGACGAGATCCGCTAAGAAGAAGGAGAGGAAAGAGGCTGATTCGAATTCTGAAGTGGAGGATGAGGTGATTGTGGCTTCCAAGTTAGAATCGGAGTTCCTGGCTCTGCGGGGGGCACCCGTGACTGTCCTGCTAGGCAAGGGCCTGGATAAAGCGGACCTCTTGGAGGATTTGAGAAGGCGCAGTAAAAGTCTTAATGGCCGCATTAGTGGCGGCATGAAGATCCAAATTGCTGTCATTAAAGAAATTGTGCGGGATTTGGCTGAAAGGGCACAAGACCGTGGAGACGTGCGGTCGTTGAGGATCCGGCTGCGCGAAGTGGAAGCGGAGCGGGATGCGGCCAAAAAGAGGGAGCGGCAGCTGCAGGATCGAGTGCGGAACCTGAAGGAGCGCCTGTCGAGGCTCGAGGCCGGACGAGCCAGTGAGGGCGGCGGGCGGGCCTCTGTCTCATCGGTTGGGGCGCCTGGGTCGGTGTTTTCGGGTTAGGCGTCGCATCCTTGGAGCGGTATTGCGGAGAATATGGTGGTCGTGCCAGACATCCGTGCCTACATGGATATGGCGGAGGAAGATTTGGTTCGTCATGGAGGCGAGCGAAAGCGGACGCGGGCGCGTACACCTACAGCCGTGCCCGATGCGAGGGGGCCGGCGGCGGTTGCAGCGCCTTTTGCGAGCGTGGGTTTTCCCTTCCCTCCGCTTGCTAGGAGGAGGGGTGCGGGTGGGCGATCCCAGCGAGCTTCGAATCCGAGCGTGGCGATGGATTCCGAGGTGCTCTCGGTTCCCGTTGCGAGGGACCGTGGTTAGAGGTCCGGCTTTGCCAGTGGCCGGGAGGGGTCCCCAGATTATTGAGGATATTCAATTGGCACCTCCGTTTAGGTGGGCTCCTCCCGGCCCGAGTGGTATCGCCTCTGCGGCCTCTGTATCGGTTGGGGGGGGAGTGGGGGGTGCGACGTGGCAGACGTCCACGAGCCGCAGCGCGAAACGGCGAGCGCGGCGTAAGAGAGCCCTCGCGGCGAGGTTAGGTGCGAACGCCTCGTCGCACCCGGGGGAACCGGCGCCCCCGATGATGGGGGGTCCCCAGCGAGGTACTCCGGTGAGGTCGAGATTGAGATCTGACGGGGGGCCTCGACGAGCGAGTGGTTCTGTAGGGGGTCTGAAACCGAAGTTCAGACCTAGGCCCCCACGTATGGCTGCGGTGGGCCTCAAGGGCAAGGAGGAGGCTTTCTCCTACGCGGAGGCCCTTATGAAGGCCCGGGAGGAGGTTTCTCTGAACGAATTAGGCATCGAGGAAATGCGTATTCGGCGAGCGGCAAACGGTGGGCGCCTTCTGGAGATACCCGGCCCGGACGGACCTGCCAGGGCTGATATTCTTGCGGCTCGGCTGCGTGCGATTATGGCCGATAGTGCCACAATTACGCGTCCCATCGCGAAGGGGGAGATTCTTATCTCTGGACGATTCGGTAATAGTCGGGGAGATTACCGAAGTGGTTGCGAGTGGTGGCGGGTGTGACATTACGGACGTGCGGACGGGCCCTATTAGACAGATGTCTAATGGGATGGGGTCCGTCTGGGTAATGTGCCCGATGGTCGCCGCAATTAAGTTGGCGGGTCTTGGTCGCGTGAGGGTGGGGTGGGTCTCGGCACGAGTAGAGTTGCTCAAGGCGAGATGTTCATCCATCCAATGTTTCAAATACTGGGGTTTCGGTCATGTACGGGAGGCATGTCGTGCCGACTTCGAAAGGGGTGGCACATGCTTTAATTGCGATCCGGGCACGTGGCACGGGTGTATAGCTTGGCGTCTTTGTGTGTGGTGTGCGTGGAGAATGGCCGGGACGGTAATCACCGTCTTAGCTCCTCAGCGTGCGCCGCGCGCAGGGACGGGCGGGGGGCGGCGCCGGCTCGGGGGCCATCCGGCCCGGCTAACCATAAAGCTGTGGTTTCTGCAGAGGAATGTAAACCATTCCCTGCCGGCGCAGGACCTGCTGGTCCGAGCGGCGGCTCGGCTCGGCGCCGCCCTTTGCTTTGTCTCCGAGCCGCGGACCGTTCCCGCCTCCCAGTACTGGCTGGGCAGTGAGAGCGGTCGGGCTGCGCTCTTCTGGAGGTCGGGGGCGTTGCCCGGAGGGTGCCGTCTAGTCGATCGGGGTATAGACTTTGTGGTCGCGGATTGTGGAGACTTTTA